GCTTAGATCAAAAGTTTGGGTCCAATTCAGGAGGTATAAGAAAGACGGCTTATTCAAGGCATCATGCATCAAATGCGGGAAGACTTATGCACCTAAATCACCCAGAAACGGAACTAGTGCACTCCGCAATCATATGAGTAAACCGTGCGGTGATGGAAAAGGTACGGCTCAACAACTATTGAATACTATTAGAGGTGAATTAGATGAGGGGGATGGATCTGTGTTAGGGAGTTGGAAGTTTGATCAAGCAGCTATAAGGAAAGGATTGGCTTATATGATCATTGTGGATGAATTGCCTCTCAAATGCTCCTCATGTACTTCTCTTTCTTAGTTATTTTGTAATCACATATATGAAGAAAAAAAACTAGTTCATGATTGCATTCACACTTATTAAAAGTACCTGTATATTTCAACTAAGTAGAATCGTTAATTCTTAATTATTATTTTCAGATTATATGAATTTTATATTTTGGCATCGAGAATTAAGATATGATATCATTCCTTGAATTTCGGTTAATTTATGGTCTAACTAACAAACACATTGTGAGCATACGATAAGATTAATGTATGCCAATGCGTACGCTATCCTGTTTCTTCCTTTTCTTCACATTCAGATTCACCTTTCCCCTACGGGAGTCGTATGTCCTACAATATGGATTTTCCCCCGAAAATGCAAGCCTTACTAAAACAAATTCTTAGCACATAACAATTCCACTCAAAATTTATAAACAACACAAGTTTGGCGTAATCCACTGCTTTCTACAATGAACTAGGTGTCGGTTGGTTGGAGAATGAAGCAAACCAACCAAGAGCGTGACCAACTTAAGCGAACACAACTCGAACCAGCTTTGATCGCAGGAGACATGAGCAATCCACCCAGATCACTGATGACACCAACGGTCTTGGCTTGTTCAAGGCTGATTTGCTATGGTTGGTTGTGATCCCGGTTAGATTGCTCCACTTTCCAACAAACCAATACCCAAATTGCCGGACACTATAACGAACCACACCAAACTCTAGTTTTTGAGAATTTTTAGTGTACGTTTAGTATTTTATCGCTCCAGTTTCCAACCAACCAGTACCTAATTAACCAATAATTCTACCAAAATGTTTATGAAAACGATGTTAAATAAATATATATGTTGTTTGAAAATGTCTGGATCCTTGCTTGCAAATCAAAGCTTAGCAGATGTAAACAAGCTTGAGGCGAGGATAACATAGGAAAGAGCAAAAGCACCAAAAAGTGAAAACCAATTTTGACATTTTGTGGAGGAATCAGGAAAATACTTATATATACCTTCCTGGGAATTTCCCCTTTATTAATTTTTATATTTGCCCTTTTTGTCGTGTTTTTTAAGCATAATAATAATAACGAAGGAGGCGTTTCAAACAAATTTGTCGGCAAAACAGACGTTATAGTTAATCATTAATTAATTATATACGGAGAGGGGCAATTAAGTTACTAATTACCCATTATTAGTGACTGGGACTCTGGGAGCATGAGACGGGGATATTATTTACTATTACATTTACATTCCCATGATCCTACTCACACTATTGGCATATTTTTACTGAGTCTACCCTTAATTACTTACCCAACATATATTATTAATGTTTTGGTGGCATGTCTACCAAAAAAATATATGTTTTGGTGGCATGATTATTATTATTATTATTATTATCATTATCAACATTGCTTTAGTGGAAATGAGATGCCTCTCGTTTGCGAATCACGATTTTTACACAACTTTTTTGAGTGTGAATGCTCCAATGAAATTCAGATTCTATGTAGAAAATAGTGGTAAATTGCCTAACTCTACCCGACAAAATAGTGTGGTGACAAATGCGTGCGAGGTAATCATTGATTTGGGAGATGGTATTAAGTGACGAAATAGGAAGCACGAAAAAAATTGTAGAAAAGATTGAATATTTTATTTATTACCGGCATTACTACTGGTCAAAATCAAAATATCATTCTCAAATCTCAACCACATGGTAGTGCATTTTCACTTCAAATCTCCATTTAGCTTGCTTGATTTTGCAATGTATCCCTTATAGCTTATGACATGCAGTTAGTTTCCATGACGAGGCTTTAATAGACTCCAAATTAAACATCGGTATTGTCCAATAATGTGATGTTAAAAAAAGACGACAAGAAAATGTTAATAATTCTACAAAATAAACGATCGACTAAGATGGATTATCACCGGGGTAAAAAAACTAAAAAAGATTGAACATTGTAATTAACATGTATAGTAATTCAGGGACTAGATAGTATGACAACACTCCTTGTGTTGTTATTATAACAACACTAGTCTCCAACCAATAGGAAGCTAGGGTTGTGATGACTTTTTATTAGATGAGTTGACCTAGTGTAAAATCAAAGCAGGGGTATAATTGTCATTATGAAAAATATGTTTAAATAATAATAAAAAAATAAAAATAAATTTTTTTTTTATTTTTTGCCAAAAATTTTGGTCGCCGGAATTCGGCCACCGGTCGCCGGAATCTGGTCGCCGATCACCGGAATATGCTTTTCGTCGCCGGAATATGCTCTTTTCTCATCGGAATATGCCACCGGTGCCGGAATATGCTTACCGGCGACGGAATCTAGTCATCGGGGCCGGAATATTCCTATCGGCGTCGGAATCTGCTCACTGACGGTCATCGGATTTCGGTCAACGAAGTGCGTTGACCGGTCAACGGTCAACGACCACCGGATGTTATGGTCTTCATTGTGAGATTTATGGTTTGGTTTCTCACATTTTTGTATGTCTTTTGTGGTTTGCTTTATCGCGTTTGTGGTTTGCATTGAGAAGTTTTTGGTTTGCTTTAACGTATTTGTGGTTTGTATTATGAGGTTTCTGGTGTGTTTTTGAAAATTTTGTGGTTTGCATTGAGGGGTTTCTGGTTTGTTTTACAATATTTGTGGTCTGCATTAGGACGTTTATGGTTTGCTTTTTTGTGGTTTGATTTACTGTGTTTGTGGTTTGCATTACGAAGTTTCTGGTGTGCTTTCGCAAATGTTGTGGTTTGCATTGTGGGGTTTCTAGTTTGTTTTAGGAGATTCGTGGTATGTATTAGGAGGTTTCTGGTTTTCTTTATTGTGTTTCTGGTTTGCATTAAGAAGTTTATGGTGTGCTTTCGAAAATTTATGGTTTGATTTGTGGAGTTTCTGGTTTGTTTAAATGGATTTGTGGTATGCATTATGAGGTTTCTTGTGTTATTTTGAAATAATTGTGGTTTGCTTTGTGGTATTTCTGATATGTTTTAGGCGATTTGTGGTCTGCATTATGAGGTTTCTAGTATGTTTTTTTTTGGTTTGTTTTACCGCTGTTTGTATTGGAAAATTTCTTGTGTTTATACAAAATGCTTTCTTGCTGATCCTGCGGAATAAACAGATCAACAAGTCAAAATCCCTGTTACGAGAGAGAGACACCAGCTTCATTCTCAAAGAGAAGCAATACAAAATCTCTGCATACGAGGACTATTGGCGTCCAACTTCTGGTAAACATAGAGATAATTTTAGCTTAGTCTCCTCCCTACAAAAACAATGATGACCAAGTCAGATGTAAGAGACATCTATTAGCCATTACCACAAAACAAACACTCTCCTACATTCCTTTGATACAAGCCCGAGTACTGAAAAAAGCTAAATAGCAAGCATAATGTTACTAAAATTTCATAGAGCACGGAACTAGTGGCTTCAGCAAGCCCCGCAGTCCCAAATAGTCCTCATCTTCTCTCCGCTCCAATTTCAGGGTCTAATGTCCCGCCCACAGCCGCGGGCGACGTCGACAGCGCCAACACATATGACATCTCAACCCTCCGCAGCTACTCGGTGTCCTGCTATTTGCATTCCAGCCACCACCAGATCGGCACCAAGGGTTTCGGTGGAGAGTTGCAGTCGCTGACCTGCGAGGCACCGCCGTCACCAGATCTACAACGACAGAGGTCATCGTCGAGGGATAAATGGCGTGGGAGAAGGCGCAGCGGGTGATGCGGAGAAGATTCCGTCAATCGAGATTGATGGAGCAGAAGAACCCTTTATGTTGTTCGTCGTCTGCGACAGTTGATTCATCATTTATGGGGTTTCGTCATCACCGCCTCGCAAGCCGCGATTCAAGTGCCGAGCAAATCAGCCGTCAATGATGAGATGCGGAGGAGAAACGTCGTTGGAGAAGAATCGGTCTCTGTGTACATGACATTCCCCGGCGCCGGAGTAGGGTTTCTCCGCCGAAGAAGAGTTGAAATTTGGGTATCTCATATGCAGCCGAAGGAGAACGACAACTATGGAGAACAGAACGGAGGAGGAAACGCATACAGAAATATAAAACGCATACAGGATTAATTTTTATTTTTATTATTTTTATTGTAAGTTTCCAGTTTTGCCCTTAATAAATGGTGTTGTTACGGTGATAATAGATAGAGTGTTGTTATACTATCTTCTCCCAGTAATTCAATAATAAGAATTTGGGGATAGAAATATTATTATTATATTATTACTGTTATCTCGTCCATCTTTCCTTCATCTTCCTCCTCTGTCATTTTTTTATATATATAATAATTAATGCTTTTTAATCAGTAGACCATGGCTACAGAAGAAAGCTGCTGTCCCTTCCTTCCCCTGTTTTTTCCTCTCTCTCTCTCTTCTTCTCTCATTTCGTTTTCTTCTTCCTTCCCTTCTCTCTTCGTTTCTGGTGTTTTCTCTTTCAGCTGTCCTTGACGAACTCTGCCACCGCCACCACCACGTTCTACTCTGTTCTTCTTCTCCATCTCTCTCTGTTTCCCTGTTCACCGGCCACTGTTCTCACCAGGAGGTTTGACTCCATGAAGATGCCAGTAAGTACGTTCTTCCCCAGATTTGTATAATTGTATATAGCTATCTCGATTGGGTTCTCTTCTTCTTCTTCTTCATACTAAGCATACTCTCATGTTCTTCGGTTTCTGTTGTTGAATAGTGTTTTTCTTTTCTCTTTTCTTACATCTCCACCCCACCCATTGGATTCCATGTCCTAACGACCTACCTTTCTTCCCCTTTTGATTGTTATTTCCACCTTTTCACTGATTTCAATTACTCTGTTTTTCCCCCTTCCTCCCTTTCCTTTTCCGTCTTTGATTTCGCTCCCCTTCCTATTTTGCCCGATTGCGGAGACAGGGTATCTCCCAACTTCCATTTTCTCCCCATTCTCTCCATTTTTTTACCAATTACCCAGTTGCCAAAATCCCAAAATTGAAAATGGGTTTCGTTCATTCTGCTTGTATCTCATCAATGGTGGGGTGGGTTCGATTCAGTGTTTCCAAGAATCCCCTGTTTTCAAAAGTCTGAAATTTTGATTCTGTCTGCTCTTTTTCTCAGGTAGCATTGCTCTTGCTGCTGGCACTGAGCTGGGGAATCCAAATGACTGCGGCGGCCGGAGAAGGAGGAGGAAGGAGCAGCGATGGGCAGTGCGATCACAAGCCGAGCTTGGACCCGAGGCCGCACAGTGTTTCGATCTTGGAGTTCGGCGCCGTCGCCGATGGGAAAACGATGAACACAGTCGCTTTCCAGAACGCCATTTTTTACCTCAAGTCGTTCGCCGATAAGGGCGGCGCCCAGCTTTATGTACCGCCAGGGAAATGGCTCACCGGAAGCTTCAATCTTACTAGCCACCTCACTCTGTTCCTCGCCAAGGGCGCTACCATCCTCGGATCACAGGTTCGCTTTCTCCGAATTGGATTCGTTGATGGGATACATAATAATATGCGACCTTGACAACAATCAAAACAGAGGAAAACGAATGATCATATCTGTCACACTATTTAGTGGGTTCAATGATCAGTTAGAATATTGTGTGCTGGTGTTGAGCTGGAATTATGACATGTCATCTGTTTTCTCTTTTCTCCTTTTCGCATACGTGTCGTTCGTTTAAGACGGGTTAACGAGATCAACTAGTAATCGCATTATATACAAATTTACGTGGTTCATCAAATTGATATAGCGAATTAGGAATTCTATGATATTTTATTACAAAGTAACAACCTTTTCTCCCCCTGATTTTTGGACTGATTGTGACACTTTGCTACACTTTTTTACCCTCTCAGAACCAGTCGCATTGGGATGTTGTTGAGCCATTGCCGTCGTACGGCCGTGGGATTGAGCTTCCAGGAGCAAGATACAGGAGTTTGATCAATGGGTACAAGTTGCGGGATGTGGTGATAACCGGTAAGTTTAGAATCCCATTTGATTGCCTGCCCTCTTTAGCACAAACTCAAGTTTCTCAACCATAATCGCAGCCATTGAAACTCCACAGCATGTGTTCGTTGATCCGGGTTTTCGATCGTTGTTTCAGGCGACGAGGGATCGATCGACGGGCAGGGCAAGGTGTGGTGGGACTGGTTCAACGCCCGTTCGTTGAACTACAGCCGGCCTCATCTCGTCGAGTTGGTTCAATGTGAAGACATTGTCGTCTCCAATCTCACTTTCCTCAATGCCCCTGCTTACAGCATCCATCCGGTCTATTGCAGGTTTAGTACTGCTGTATCTTCATCCTCTGTTTCCCTTTCAAGGCTCTGTTTTTGAATCTAGGATTTTTTTTAGTGGTCATGGCATGAACTTTGTTTCGATTGCAAATGCAGCAACGTTCTTGTCCAGAATATCTCAATCTCCACACCATCAGAGTCTCCTGGCACAGTCGGCATAGTGCCAGATTCATCCAACAACATATGCATAGAGGACAGCACCATCGAGACGGGGCACGACGCCATAGCCTTGAAAAGCGGGTGGGACGAGTACGGCATCTCGTACAATCGACCGACGATGCACGTCCACGTGCGGGACGTGCATCTCAAGTCGTCCTCGGGGGCGTGCATCGCCCTGGGGAGTGAAATGTCCGGCGGGATCTCGGACGTCCAGGGCGACGACATTCGTATGCACGACTCCCGCGGTGGAATCGAGCTGAGGACGAATCGTGGTAGGGGCGGATACATTCGGCGCGTGTTCTTCTCCAACGTCCAGATGGAGGAGGTCGAGGTCGGGTTGGTTGCGAGGGGCGACATGGGGGACCATCCGGACGATGGGTTCGACCGGGAAGCGGTCCCCGTTGTTCAGGGGATCACGTTCAGGGATGTTGTCGGCCTGAAGGTTGGTCTGGCGGGTAATTTCACCGGAGCGGAGGGGATACGGTTTGGTACGATATGTTTGTTGAACGTGACATTGACGTCCGGGGAACCGTGGGTTTGCTCGGGCGTCGACGGGTTCTCGGAGGACGGAGATCGTGTCTCCGGAACCGTGCCAGGAACTGGCGAATGCAGAGAAGAGTTCTTCGTCGTGTTATGACGTGATGGATTATTCTTATGGGAGATCATTCAGCTTGTGATGATATGATAAATACATACCATTTTGTTTGTGGGTAAATGATGTGAAGAAAAAAGAGAGAAAAAAGGGGGCAAATTGGGTGTCTTGAATTATAGAGTTTAGGGCAGATTCTTTTCCAATAAGACCACAATTGTTTAGAGAGAGCATTTTATTTGTTTCTTTTTTCGCTTCTTGTTTGGAGTCTCTGCAGATGATGATTTATTCGTGTACAGCTTTCCCCAATTCTTCATTCATGGTGTAAGAAGGAAAATTTTGGTAGTGATTTTAATTTTATTGCAAAGACTTTGGAGGAAAGGAAGGGAAAAGGCAAAAGGAAAGAAGGAAAACAGAGCTATTTGTATTTTGTGTATTTTATGTTAGGGCTAATACCATTGGGAAACCCGAACTATTACTTTGTGTCATTTGTGTCCTAAAGTATTCGATATGACATTTGTGTCACAACGTATGATAGTTGTGTGTCATTTATGCCCTGACGATTTCGTTGACCGTTATAAATAACGGTTGACCAAACGGAAGTCAACATTAACATTGACTTTTGTTGACGTGGCAGCCACGTAGATGCCACGTCAATGACACCTCATATTTTTAATTTAAAAATAAATCAAAATTAAAATAGAAAAATTACAAAATAAAAAATAATTAAGAAAACAAAATGTCTGTGTTCTTCTCGCACTATTCGATTCTCTCTCAAAAAATTTCCAAACCCAGAAAACCCCAATTTCGACGATCTGTGACCCAGAAAACCCAGCGAAGAAAATTTGGGCAATTAAGCACGAGACCACCGACGATGATTAATCCTACTCCGGCGGAACAATGAGGGCTCTGTCCCTCATCCCTCTCTTCGTCGCGACACAATCTTGAAGCTCGCGATAGTCAACCCGAACTGACGACTGCGATAGTCCTCAAGGGCCCCGTAAGAGCTTCACGGAGGAGCTCGAACAGATTCGTGGTGGCGACTACAAATATGGTCATCAGCTCCGGATCGCCCCTACTGGTTGCGAGATAGGCTCCGATTTAGGGATTTTGCATGGTATGGATTTGACGAAGAACCTGGATCTGGTCGGAAGTGGATTTTGCAGGAAAGGCTCCGATTTAGGGATTTAGGGATTCGACATGCCGATTCCATGACTGCCGATTCAATCACTAAATTAGTGATTTAGGGCTTCTATTCAATCACTAAGTTCTTCTTTTCCCCAATATCTCCCCTGACTGCCGATTCCTTGAGAATTCGACATGCATCGCCTTCGACAGCCTGTCCGGGTCAGGTATCGCCCGGATGGGGAGGTGGTTCGCCACCACAATCGGGCGCACCGGGGAAGGTGGGAATCTGGGTTGTTGTTGACGCTGTTGGGGGAGGATCGAAAGGGGTGAAGAAGGGAGCTTGATGGTCGCGGGAGTCGACCGACGATTGATGACACGGAGATCGTCGACGGAGATTAAATTCAGACACCCTATGCAAGACTAAGACACCATTTTTTTGGGTTTGTTTCAGCTGAAAAATCGCACCAGAGAAGAAGAATAGAGGAAAAGGGGAAGGAAGAAGGAAAGAAGTCTCGATTCCAATAGCCAATCAGAACTTTTGTTTTTCATTTTTTTTCATTTCATTTCAATTATTTTTTCATGGATAGAGAAAAGTGGTCGGTGAATTTTTTCCTTCAATTTTTTCATTTTAATTATTTTTTAAGCCATAAGGAAAAATAAATAAATAATAATAAAAATTCCACGTCAGATGCCACATCAGCGCTGAGTAGACTTTCTGTCAAAAACTAACAGTCAACCCTGGTAAACTCTAACGGAAAAATAGTTTAGGACATAAATGTCATATCGAATACTTTGGGACACAAATGACACATTCTTTATAGTTCGGGTTTCCTAATGGTATTAGCCCTTTATGTTATATGTTCATTGTTTGATTTTGGGTTCTGTCCCTCTTTACTGGGACGTATTGGTATCCTGATTCAGCTGAAGAAAATATTTAAGTGATAGCGAGACACTCTTAAAATTTGGAAAATGATTATCCCACCCCCGACAGTAGTTTGCGTATGTGTAAATTAAAACGTTTAAGTGGTAGCTTATGTGATTTCAACTTGGGTCGCTGCTATTACTAGAATCATATTTTTCATTAAACCACAACTCATTTGTTCTTGTATTTTAAATCAAAATATACTAGTAAAAAGCTATTCCTTATCCACAACTATTTTCAAAAGCTAACGATTAAACTCAATTACTGACTCCCCTTGTCTAGTAGGATATATCGAAAGATTTGTAGAGCATTGTTAGACATAGATGATATTTTATAATTTTTCCAGAATACAAAGCATGTCATGTGTTTTGTTGTATTTTGTACAAGTTAGACATTTTCTATTTAATAAATATTTAATAATTAATTTAATTAAATTTTAGTGAGGACACCCTATTTAAAATTTCTATCTAAAATTTCTGAATCCGCCCCTGATATGAAAATACAAGTTCGCTAGATCTTGTTTGCTACTAGCAATAGTGACCAAATCCTCTCTTCGTGAATGATCGCACAAAGCTATGGGTTTGTTTGGTTTCCACTGTTGTGGTTTGAGCGGCGGCAGGCAAATAGTGTAACACCTTAGGCAAATCCCACATCGACAAAGCACGAGAAAGATCCATGGTTCATAAGTAGGAAACCGACCTTAACTGACAAGACGCGTTTTGGGATGAAACGGAGGAGTTCTTGTGAGAACTCCGAAGTTAAACGTGCTCAGTGTGGAGTACAACAAGGATGAGTGACCTTATGGGAAGTCACATTGAATTGCACCCCAAGTCGAAAACCGTGAGAGTCGAGGCCCAAAGCGGACAATATCTTGCTCGGGAAAAGGTTCGGGATGTTACAAGTGGTATCAGAGCCTCTCCGCGTCCCTCTTGAACGATGGTGGGTCAAACCTCAACGAGGGCCTTGAGTCCCAAGGAGGGGTGTATGTAACACCTTAGGCAAATCCCACATCGACAAAGCACGGGAGAGATCCATGGTTCATAAGTAGGAAATCGACCTTAACTAACAAGACGCGTTTTGGGGTGAAACGGAGGAGTTCTTGTGAGAACTCCGAAGTTAAACGTGCTCAGTGTGGAGTACAACAAGGATGTGTGTGACCTTATGAGAAGTCACCTTGAATTGCACCCCAAGTCGAAAACCGTGAGGGTCGAGCACCAAAGCGGACAATATCTTGCTCGGGAAAAGGTTCGGGATGTTACAAGCAGGCAGTAGTGTTTTTTTGGGTGGAATGGGTCTTTCTTTGACTGGCTTCTTGTTTGTGTGTTGTTGCATTTGTGGCGATTGGCGAAGTGATTGGTTGGGAGAGGGGGAAATTGAATGTAGAAAACGATAATGTGGAAGAACAATAACGCACAACGCAACGATTTACGTGGTATCCTTGTTCGGTGTGAACATGACTAATCCACGGAGAGCTCAACCGAGCTCTTGACTGACGACAATTTATTATTGACGTAATAAACTGACCGACTTGCTGCTTACAATGAACCTGCAGCTAAGCCTTTTATACAAGACGCTAGGCGGCCAAAACCTAGGACAATTCGGCCAAGGGTTCCAACTAAGACAAGGAGAACCGAATGTAACTTGGATAATAAGACAGCTGTGGACAGCAGCTACAAACGACGACGTGTAGTGCATTACTATACTTCTACATTGAATCACTGATGAATTCGACTATGATGTTCACAACTCATTTGTGAGAACCATTTTATAAGTGTAAGGTGTCGTTGGATCATACACAAGTAATTTTCAACCGGTGGTTGGAACCGATTGTAATTTTGTAAATATAATATTATCTTAATCCATTCAACGATAAAAAATCGTTAGATTGTGATCCAACGCGGTCGACACCTATAAAATTAGTTGTGAGTGTCATAACAAAATTGGGGGATAAGCCAAATTTTATAAGAATGTGGCTTTGTGGTGGGTGGGATTTTTTTGCTCCTCTGTCCTCCCCATGTGATCGAGCTTTCAATGAAAAGAAATGGTTGGAATGGAAGGAGAAAAAGACTTGACTGTAAAGCAAGAATATACACTTGCAGAAATTTTGTCTTACATATGCCAACCAACAAACAAAAGGATTAGAGAGGCATTGTTGACATGAAAATGCAACACAAAAGGATTGGAGCTTAGAGAGCGAGAGAGAGGTTGATGAATACGATGATCGGATTTCTTGTCATAATCATTGGAATCTTGACTCTTGAGGGTAATTAGTCATCCTTAATGACCTCCATGTGTTTGATGTCCTCCTACTCCTTTTATTGTTGGTTTCACATTTTATTCGCATCGAATTAGTTTTCATTTGCGCATAAATGTATCGTTGTTTGCCAACTCGAGAGGAGTTAGTCATACTTTTGATCTCCAATATGTTAAAATGCTAGCAAGCGAGTGCCTGTGCTCCCTCGATGTCCGGTTTGCTGGGATAGTACGGAAACGATGGAGCATTTGTTTCTTGATTGCCCAGTGGCGCGGGCCTTATGGGGATATTCGGGGTTGGAATATGTAGGGGAAGGGTTGGTTCGGCAAACGTTCCCTATGTTTCTTAAGAAGTTGATGAACTTGATCCATCAGCAACAGCTGTTCATGGCTGTGGTGGCTATCCTGTGGCGGATTTGGCGCTCCCGTAACTGGGTGGTCTTTGAAGGCAAACAGTTTGGGATCCCTGCGTTAATGCGTCAATTTCATCAGCAATATGAGGAGTGGGTGAGACTGCCGGTTAACAAGGTTATCCAACGCTCGGTCTCAGTGAGGGAAGATGGTGGGATCGGCGAGACAGGGATGGTGGTTTGTATGTGGGATGGGGCGATTCGGCCAGGGTCACATGCTGCTGGTGGAATTGTTCTGTTATCCCCGGCTAGGGAGGTCATTCAGGTAGAAGGGGTTCAGTTCCCGCATGTGGGGGATCCTATGACGGTGGAGCTTCTGGTCCTTAGGGAGGTGATTCTTTGGTGTCTGGCGCATAGCATGTCTAATGTGGTTTTCGAAGGGGATGCTAAGGTGATTATTGACAAACTCAATCAAAGGGATGCCAGAGACAGTCGAGTGGGTGCTGTTTTAGAGGAAGTATTGCAGTATTTTCGTACCCACCCGGGATTGACGGTGCGATTTGTAGGTCGGAGTAGTAATAGGGTAGCCCATCTTGTGGCTATGAAAGCCCTCTCTTTGTACCCGATCATGAATCGTGGCTTTGATTTTCAGGCTTGGCTGCTGTCTAGGATGTAACTATTATTTGTTATCAATACATGATTGTCTTTTGTAAAAAAAAAAAAAAGTTAAAATGCTAATGACATCATCCGTGAAAACATGATCAGACGATGTTATCAAAGTATATGCTAGGATGGACATTGTCGTTTGCGATGAATTTCTCTCCGTAATGGGAGAAAAAATTGACCGAGCTAGCTGGTGTCGGCTCGGCCCAAACTTTGAGAAATTAATTTTCGTAACCAAATGAGAAATATGCTAGTTCCCAGCCCATGATAATACGTGTGGACTTGGACCGATTTAGGCCCCTAATTGAGCCCAACCCAACGACATTTACTAATTACTACTAAATTTGAAAGGAAAAAGAAACTAAAAAAAAAACGTTTAACTTCCGGAACTGTAAGTCACCCCTAAAACCCTGCAGAGGGTTTCTTAGTTCTTGCTAGCGCCATTCCTCCCGCCTTCCTCCTCCGACGCCGTCAGTCCACAAAGCAATCGCCTCCACGCCGTCGTCTCTTTCTCCGTCTCAGGTAAACGCTTCTCCCCGAACGGCGGAACATCCGTTTATCCCAAGCGGCGGAAGGTCGAACAGGATAAAATGGCGTCGACCAATATAAGGGACCTGCTGACTGCGTTCAGTCCTTCGTTGGATTACTTCGCAATCAGCTCCGGCGACGGCCGAGTGAAGGTAGTTGAATCTTTCTCTGCGGGGATGTGCTGTGGAGCTTACCAAGTTTTGCTGCTGATTCTAATTTTATGTTTCTTCCAGATTTGGGACACGCTGAAGGGCCAGGTGCAAACGGAGTTTGCAGACATAGCGTCCACTGATGTGAGTCTGCTGGCCAAGGCGGAGAGAGGGCACCTCTCGGTCGATTATACGTGCATGAAATGGCTCTCCCTGGACAGAAAGGTTGGTAATGTTTGAAAATTTGATGCAATATTTGGCTACATTAGGGATGTTTGATTGATTGATTTTCCTTTGAACTTCAGAAGAAAAGGAAGATAGGGAGTTCTTTGTTAGTGTTAGGAACTGGTAGTGGGGATGTCCTGGCCCTTGATGTTGCTGCTGGTCAGCCCAAGTGGATAGTTAGTGATTGCCATCCCGGGTGAGCTTTCTCGTGTAATTTTTTTCTTCTTATGCTGTTGCAACTTTATGAATTAGTAAATGAAATCATTTGGGTTCAAGGATCTTTGACGATTCATCTAGAGTTTGTTTGGGTCCTTATTGTCTTCTCAAACGATGCAGGGGTGCAACTTCGGTCTCATTTTCTACTAGTGAATCAAGCATTTACACTGCAGGCGCTGATGGAATGATTTGCAAGATCGATCCACAAACTGGAAATGTGTTGGGAAAGTTCAAAGCTTCAAGCAAAGCAATATCCTCTATGTGTGTTTCTCCAGGTAGGTACTATGTTAGTAGTGGTACTTATGAATATAGACATTGTGGCTTGTAGTTTTCCCACCCTTGTTATCCTGCTTGAATGTGGAATGAATACATTTCGTTGTTGAATTCGTGATTTGAGCATTTGGTATTTGCTGCTCTTTTGTTTGTTGAGGGAACGTGCCCTACTGGTTCTCTGGAAAGTTTTGACCTTTATTCTATTTTATCTATCTGATTAGATGGCAAGATATTGGCCACTGCTGCTTCACAGTTGAAAACTTTCAATTGCTCTGATCACAGAAAAATACAGAAATTTTCTGGTCATCCAGTGAGTTTCCTTTTTCCTGATTTGGTTTCTATTTTCATTCCGACTTATTCCAATGCTAGATTTTGGTGTTCTCGTCATATTTTTCTCTTCATCTCACTCATTCGGTAACATTCTTTTGTTTCCAGGGAGCTGTGCGGTGTATGATTTTTACTGATGATGGAAAATACATTCTCTCTGCAAGTGGTGAAAGATATGTTGCACTTTGGAGAACTGGCAGTGGCAAAAAACAGTCAGCCTGTGTTTTTGCAATGGAGCATCCTGCAGTTTACCTTCATGCCAAGTGTTTTGAGAAAGGTGAAGCAGATGACAATGAGGGTCTCTATGTTCTGGCCATCTCAGAGACCGGTGTTTGTTACACATGGTGTGGGCAGAGTGTTGAGGAACTACGGACGGCCAAGCCCACAAAGGTCTCACTATCTTATGATGATAAAAAGCACAGGGGTGCACTGCCTGCAATGTTTGCAGCACAATTACAAGTCATCCCCAAACCTACATCTGCAAATGTGTATCTTGCCTATGGTCTGTTGGTGAAGCCTTCATTTCAGAAAGTATTAGTCGAAGCTGGGAATGATGTCGAGTTAAGTAGTTTTCAGGATGGAGTTCTCTTTCCTACTAGGCAGTCCATTAGATCTAAGAAAGGGATGGATCGAGGTAAAGATTGACAAGTCTTCTTATTCAAAGTCCCGATTCAGGAAGGTATTACTTGTTCCAATGGCTAATTAAACATGTCTGTATACTTTTTGTGATTATCAACAGTTACTGCTTTGGACCGTGCTAATGTGGAGGATTCCCTTCTTCCAGTGGCAAAAGTATCTGATCTTCATGTTGCTTTGGATAGCCGAAGCCAAGTTGAGTCTTTAGAGTTTAAAGGTACGTTGTATACTGTCCACCATATTGTTGAAATCAGTAGTTAATCGTCATAGTAGCTATATGGTTCGAGTTCTCTATATCATATCAGGAAACATGTCATTGCATCAGAATTGCTACATTTTTATTTTCGCTTGCTCAAACTTATTGCTTATGCAGATGACATGGTAGATGTTGAGACTCCAACAACTAGCATGGAGACACGATTGAGACAATTGAGAATACTACCAAGCGATGGTGACATCGTCAAACCTGTGATGGATTCTTTAACTTCTATGGGAATCCAGCTCGAAGATCACTTCCCCCAAAAGAAGGTTCTTGTAGATAGAATAATACCATCTCTCTCATTTTTTGTTACCAGGTTTCCAAACTTGTTCCTTCAGCCTTTCTCACTGGTTCTATGTTCTTTCCTCTACTAGATCAGGGCTTCCGTTTTGTCTATGGAACCAAGCAATGCATACAAGTTACTCGAGACCTTGGTGTCCATATGGAAGTTGAGGTTAGCTCTCTTTGCTGCTGCTTTTATTTAAACTCTGACGATCTTCATCAGTTGATTTAACTATTATGTACCAAATACCCGAAGATATTATAGTTAGCCTGCAGTTTCAACTGAAACTCATACGGGAGCTGTAATTCATTCATAAAGCATGTGACCTAGTTATGCCTCAAACTCATGTTGGTCATTTTCTTCCATAGATCACATAGTGGAAAGTCGGTGCTAGCATGGATGTCCTGGATATTGGTCGTTCATGGTCAATACATTGTGGCCCAAGAAAAATCTGAAGAAACCCAATTTTTAAGCTCCTTGCTGAAGGTAAGTAGCGCCCAATGCATTTGTTGTACATTGACTTACAGTTTAATTCTGATGACTAATATTTTCCCTTGATTTTCTCCAGATTACCAAATCTAGTGAGGCTGCTGTACAACCTTTATTGCAGTTATCAGGTCGTTTGCAGCTTGTGACAGCACAGGTCTGCATAGTAGTTACATTTATATCTAATATCTTCGCTTATTTCATCTTCATGACGATTTTGTTCTTTTGTTTGCGATGCTTTCTCTCTATGAAGTTTGACAAGGACTCCCTGAAGAGTAACCATACTGCATTGCCGGACGACCAAGTGGAAGATGAAGATGATGACGAGGATGAGGATGTTGATGAGCGTATATATGGTCAGGAAGACGATGAATCTGATTTAAGCAGTGATGATGATAAGTAGGACTTTAGAAACCCATTGGCTGACAGTTCATCAAGCAATGGATCAATGATGGTAGTGATCTGGCATTCCATATATCTCCGCCCTAGTCGATTCGGGTCAATGTTTTTCGACCTATGATCTGCCTGCTGCCCTTGGGAAACAAACACACGGCTGGCTCTTGATTCGGTTCCAGTTCTTGCAACGATCCTCTGCCATACCCTTCCGGTTTCCCGACGGAGCAGGTTTTTGTACTAGTTTTCTTTACTTTGTTTGTGTTCCCTTTCTAGAGAGTGTAGTGTGTGTAAAGGCCCTACCTCGAGTCAAAATAACATTCTACATGTTTGGAAAGCCATTATTTTGGTAGAAACGTATAGGATTTTATATAATAGAAGTAACAAAACTTCCCTCCAACCATTTCCAGGGATTTTAGGCCCTATGGAGTCGGAAGTGGAACGCAGAATCGATTCGGTTCTTTCTCCATCACTTACAAGCATGGAATCTCATTCTTTTCCAGAAAAATAATAACGTACACATCTTCATATTGCCGTTCTTTCTTTATTTCTCCTTGCTATCTAAGAACTTCCTTCCCTCGATTGCCGGGCGGGCGGCGGTTTAATCGTGTTGTTTACATTACTGTGCATGCATTTGGGTTCTCGTCGCTGAACATGGACGAGACGTTTCCATTCCCGCGATGATTATAGTCATGGTACTCCTCGTTGTAGTAGTCCATCCTGCCGTAGTCTGCGTACCTAGATGGTTGCGGCTGCGGTGGAGGCATGTACCTTGATTGTGGTGGTGGTGATGGTGGTGCTGGTTGCGTCGATCGGACGTATTCGTACTCCGTCACGTACGGTGTCGGCCTGTACGTGCTGTAGTTGTGGTGAGCAACGTACACCGGTGGAGGCGGAGGCTGATGAGGAGGTGGTGGCCTGGTGACGACGGGTGGATACCCCGGACCGTCGGGGTATCTGTCCCAGTGATGATAACCGGAAGTAGAACCAGAACTAGAAGGTGATCCGCCACCACCGTAGCCATTGTACCTGTAGCCGTAGTCCGGCGGTGGTGGTGGGTAGCGGTGGTAGTCCGACGGTGGGTGGTGGTAAATGACGTGAACCTCCCCGACGTCTTTCTGCCCACCCGCCGGCTGTGGTGGCTGCTGGCTTGATGAGTTTGGCTCTGGCTCTGGCTCTGGCTCTGGTGGTGGTGGTGGTGATTGTTTCTCCTCCGGTTGTTGATTCTCTGGTGGCTGCGGTGGTGGCGATGGTTCCTTCGGTGGCTCAGTTTGTTGGGGCGGGCCTTCTGGTTCCGGTGGAGGAGGGTCTGATTGGTTTGATTCGTCCGGCGGCTGCGGTGATTCGCCGCCATCCAGTGGTTGTTCCTGTGGATCAGAGGGTGGTTCTGAATGGGAGCATATGATGGCCGTCTTCCTCGTCTTCCTAATGGCTTTAACGATCTTCTGAGGATCGGCCCACCCGACGATGGTCAGCTTCTGCTGAGGGACGTCGATGTAGAGCTCGTAAATCCCTGAGTGAAACACAGCCATTGTTGAATGAAGCGAAATCAGAATGCAGCTTGTCAATGAGATGAGAAGAGTGTCTAAATGAAGGCAGTTTACTATATATACAAACCATTGACGCCATGAAGAGCCTTCTTGATCTTCTGAACGCAGCCATTGCAGTCCACCCGGACCTGTATCTCTGTAACTCTGGCCCTCTGCGGAAAGCGGAAAAAACAGAGGAGCAGAGGAAACAGGGTTAGCACCAAGCAAAAAATGGCGGATGTTCGTTAGGAATATCAATCAGCAGAAGAAATCATGGCTAATACCTCCAACTCTGGAGCCATTTGGGCAGAGATAGAAGAAGAGGGAAGAGAAAGGGGAGGGATGAGATGAGAATCTATGGTGTAATTTATGGAGGGTAGTGAGAGATTGGGAGGGAATATAAGCTGGAGGGAAAAGGGTGTGGGACATGTAAGGAATCTCTTTTCTTTCTTCCTCTTTTTTCTCAGAGAGGGAAAGAAAGGGGAATGGAAGAGAGTGGTTGGAAGGAAGATGAAGGCTTGTGCCCTTTGGGAGGGTCATTTTCAAAGGAGAGGGAAAGGCAGAGAGCCCAAGAAAGGTGGCTAATTTGCTTTGGTTGGAAAGTTGGTATTTGATAGAAACCTGTGGTTGGTTTTCTGTATGTTCGTTTGTGACGTCTTCTAGCTAGCTGCTGTCCATGTTGAGCCTTAAATGGAGCTTTTTGATTTTGGCTAGTTGCATGGACGTGGATGGGCACTCTGGCTAGGCACTATCGCGAACAAGGGTTTGGTTTAGTGGTTAAATGGTTAGTTTTTGATCTGCACATTTCAAATTCAAATATCTTTAGTAGTACTAGCACCTAATATTAAAACTAAACCTATGTCACCCTTATATATATTAAACAGAAAAATATGCCAAAAGGATTAGTTAGTAGAGTACCTCCGAGGAGTAGAACCAAACACTTTCAGGTGAACCAAACACATGGACGTGGATGGGCACTCTGGCTAGGAACTACAGCGAACAAGGGTTTGGTTTAGTGGTTAAATGGTTAATTTTTGATCTGAAAGTCTCAAAATTCAAATAGTTTTAGTAGCACTAGCACCTAATATGAAAACTAAACTTATGTCACCCTTATATATATTAAACAACAGGAGGAGATGCCAAAAGGATTAGTTAGTAGAGTACCTCCGGGTAGGAATGGCAATGGGGCAGGTCCGGGGCGGGTTTCTTGGTACCCAGACCCGCCCCGTGGCAGGTCGGGTCCAGGTCGGGGCAGGTCGACCCAATGGGTATGCAATTTATATTAAAAACATTAGAAATATTCGTTATTTTTATTATAAGACTAAGAAAACAAACAATATTATGATAATTGTAGTTAAATTATTGGAGAAATTGAGGTTTTCACTAATTTACAACTTTCTTATAGCTAAAATATGATGCAATAAAAGGAAAATCCTAAGTAATTTAACTAAAATTACATGTAATTTGGACAAGAACGGGTCGAGAATGGGGCGGGTCAGGGCAGGTCGGGTCGATAAGACTACCCATGCCCGCCCCGCCCCAAAACAGGTAAAACAGGTCGGGTAAAACAGGTCAGGTCGAAATTGCCATCCCTACCTCCGGGGAGTAGAACCAAACACTTTCAGATGAACTAAAGATGTTATATCGAAAGCTTAAGGTTATGATGCTATTTTGGTATCGTTAGTATAACAATGTTTCAGAAGAAAGTGATGATGACTCTAATTTCGTTCGAGTTAATTGCGATGTTACAGTTGCTATGCATATTTTTTGTGTGTGGCCCTCCATCTAAGCATGAGTATAACTATGATCATCATAATTAGAGCCGACAAACAATTCACGCACATTGTGTACATCCACATCTTCCGATCGATGGATGCATATTGGTATCCAAGTTCCACCTAGGGTTTTGAGCTCGACGAGCCAACCGGCTCGTAGTAGTCTGTGCTTTATTACAAGTAGTCGTCCCCCCAGTTCCTCAGGTGAAGGGCAGAGCCTCATCTTACAGTAGGGGAAGGTCTTCGTCGTTGGGACGGGTTCAAACTGGACTTAAGGGAGGAGAAGCTCCGTTTTTCGACTGCTTTAGAGAGCTGAGAATTAAGGATCATCCCATCTAAGATCAATGCATTATTTACCATCACCTTTGCATTGCTATTCCCAGTCAGCCGTGGGGCAATCTAAAACCGACCATATGCAAAAGAGAGCATAGATGAGCTTTTGATCATGGGTTTCGAAAGAGGCCAGAAAACTCAAAGTTAACTTTCTGTGGAAAGTGTGCGTGGAAGGAATAAGTAAGGAGATCCCACTAAAAAAGAATCCTTTCATCGCCAAGGAAAGGCTTTGCCGTTATGGGGGTTTGCCTATCGATGCAATACTAGATCATCATGACTTGGAAAGCCATAAAAGAGTGATAGAGCCATCACCTTTGGATTCTTTACTGCCTGGAAATTTATTAGTTCTAGCTAGGAGTAGGAGTTGCTTATAGTTATAGGTAACCAACACCTCGAAAGATGGGCAACGTAAGACATTACGAAGATAATCCTCTATGTTATGATGCGCGATCCGGAGTAATTTATAAGGACGGTCAGTTTAAATAAGATGCCTTGGATACCAACTATATTTATGGTTAGAAAAGACTGATTGTCCTTTTGGGCTAGGACCAGGTTGACTAGCCATAGTACCATCTCTGCACCAGCCAACTGTCTTTTTGGGCAGGCCAAGTGATTTGGTCACTAAACTAATGCTAATCATATCTACAATTTGTTTATTTTGACATGTTGGCAAAGATTAGCGTTGTGCCGATGTTCTTGATCACTTTAAACTGTGCAACTTGAGCCATCCAAATTCGTCTAATTGGTCCACCTGCACTTCTTTTTCTTTTCGTCTTTTATAAACCTGGGAGATTCCTCTTGCCTTTAGGAGCCTTCAACTCCCACTAACTACTAACTAGTTGTGTGTGAATACAAAAATGTTATGATCATTACATAAGACATTGATTCTTCTATGATTCATACCTAAATCGTTTGGTTTCTCTAATCGTTTTAGTGATATTTTTACATCGTCTGCATTCTAAAGAATACATCATTTTTTTAATTGTTTTATAAAGAACACATGTATTATTTGTTTGATGTGATCTGAATGATTATACAATCTCAGCTTGATATAGACACATTACATATATTATTTAGTTAAGATTGTTGTGATGGTTCAGGCGATATTGTTTTTTTATTCCAATTTTATCCTCTAAAAAGTAATTTTGCATTACAAAGATAGTTATAGAGATGATGGAGTACATAAAAATTAGTTATAGAGATGTGGGTTCTCCAAGAGGTAGGATTCCACAACCCTAAAGATCCCCATGGCTTTCTCCCTCCCTTCCTCAATTTCTCCTTCTTCAATACCATACTCCCCCACAGCATTATAATGACTAGTCACCACACAAGCACATCCTTCTTCATCGGCCTCAAACTTGACCTCATAAGAAATGGATTCGATTTTTTCACCTAGAGGTTCTCCCTCGATCATCGTGTACTTGCACAAGAGGTTCGCTTCATCGAGCTCGTCTATCCGATTCCTCACACATTTCATGTTAGCACCTGACGCAAACCACACGGTAAAGTTGAAGCGTGCTCATCCCACACATGGATACATTAAAATATCGGACAATGATTCGCAGGAATACATACCCAAAGTGAAATTGACTTGTTCAATGGTCCTCGGAGGATCCTCGTCGTGATCACGAATCACATCGATGCTAGCGATGAAATCTGGCAAGAGCTTTGGGATCAAGTTGCTCGAATCCAAGATTAGGGCTTTGAACATTCTTGAAGGAGGGATCGGTGAAGTGTAGCGTTTAGCGAAAGTAGTGATGATACCCATTTTTTCTCAATGTTGAAGGTTGGACAGAATGAATGAATTGCTTGCTTAGAGATCAAGGGGCTCCTCACATTTATATGATATAATGAGATTTGGTTAGGTAAGGAATATGGGGGTTTTGGTTACACAAAGATTCAAACTTTGAACTGAAATTTCAGGTCTCATTCAATGGTTCTTTGTTGTCTGCAAGGCTGGTGTCAAAGGTTGAACAAAAAGGAAAACAGCATAAAAAAGTAAATTACACATATGGAAAAGGTTGAAAATACAAAATAGTGTGCGGTTTTGCACACGTGGGTGGCGCCATACTTTTGGGCTGGATCGAGGATTCGGAAAGTGGAAGGCCATGATATTTACGAAACTGGGCCCATTTGGAAATACGTTCAAGATTTAATGGGCTTAGTTTCGGTTCCATATTTCCGTGTCCACTTTCCATGGTCTGGTGCTTAAAGCATGGATTGGCTGGCTCTGGGCCTTGGGAAGTTCCAGATTAAACACGCAATTACGATTAGAGATGGCAATTAAACCCATGGCTGCGGGTACCCGATCGCTCTTGACCCAGTCAACGAGGGTAATCCCCGCTTTAACCGGGTATGGGTAAAATCCACAAAAAGTTTGATGGGTATGGGGCGGGTATGGTTTTAGCCTCCCCGCCCCATACCCGCCCCACCAAGAGAATTTTTTCACATATACAAATATATGTGGATCAAATTGTAATATATCAATGATGATGAGGATAACTTGAGGAAATAAATAGTAGAAATGCAGTTGAGTGACCACCTTAATCAAAACCTAATTCATTTCCCTCCATTCTCCTTTCACTCTTTCACTTCCCCCTTGTCAACAAGATTATGTTAGTTAATTATTTCTTAGTAGATGTATCAGAGTTAGAACATAATAATTTGAAAAATATTATACTCTATATTATGTATTAACGAATGTTTTAGGATCATATTCTTTGAACCGTATTAAGAAAATGATCGTGTTTTGTTGAATTCGTGATATAATATGTATGTTTAGAGTTGTAGTTAAAACTTTTCTTGTAAATTATAGGATAATAATGTTGGATGTACGGGTACGGGTATTACCCATGGGTACCCGAAATCCACGGGTATGGGGATGGGTTTGCCAAACATTCCCCCGCATGGGTATGAGGCGGGTATGAGTTTGGATATTTGAAGATGTGGATGAGGATGGTTTAGCCAAACCCGCCCCATTGCCATCCCTAATTACGATGTGTTTGGCCGCAGTTAGATTTTGAGACACAAACTTTTGCATATAAAAAATGGATGTAATCTCAAACACTTAGAATTTACGAGTAATCAGAGTTGAAGGCTTTCTTCAACGCGTCCATGCTTGGATAACTGTCGTGAGAATTGCTTTGGACAAGGACAGGAAAACTCATTATCCTGATCCGCCCACAAGAACGGAGGAGTTGATCGCTTGGATGCCGCCTCCTTCCAAGTGGGTCACTCTCAACTCAGACGGCTCCATTCTACCTGAGACGGGTCTTGCTGCTGCAGGAGGCATTATCAGGGATCACCTTGGACGCTGTTCGGCAGCGTTTGCTATGAACCTGGGGATTTGCTCCATTACCCGGGCAGAGTTGAGAGGCGTTGTTAAAGGACTTCAACTGGCTTGAGACATGGGATACAGACGTGTCATCATGGAGATTGACTCCCGATGTGCTATTCAGCTGATTCAGGGAGAGGATACTTCGGATCACCGGCACGCAGCGGTCATTGACCGATTCCACGAGCTTCTTCGGCGTGACTAAGACGCTACAGTTCCCACATCTACAGAGAGAGGAATAAGAGTGTTGACTTTCTTGCTTCTAGAGGCCACTAGTTGGATCTTGGTTTCCACTTTGTACCCATTACTGATCCTGCTTTATGGTTTTATCTCTTGTATGACATTGAAGGGGTTTCCGAATCCTGGCTGGTTTTGAATGAAAGTTAGGATACTTCGCATCCATTTATAAAAATAAAAAATAGAATTTACGAGTAATTGAAAACTCATTCAATAAAACTAGATCTCACATGTATTTATTTTCATATTTATAAAACAATTTTTCATGGGAAAGGATAGGCACAAAACCCATCATCCATTTTTTATTCCATTCACTATCTACCGTATATTGATAATATCATGATACGATATAAATAAATTATTTTGTTCAATGTTAGACCTCATAGTAATAGGGATGACATTTTGCACGGAAGGTCCGGGTACCCGCCCAAAACCCGCTCGTGTACTGCACAAAATACCCGTCCGAGTAGGGTAAACGACGGATTCAGGCTTGCATGATACCCGACATCAGCGAAACATGGGTGGTGACGGATTCTGGGATATCCTCCCCGTCCCCACTTCGTCCTAGAAACGACGTCGTTTTGAATAGTGGTATATAACGATTGCTGGAGACTGAAACCCTAGCTCTGCACTTTCCCTCCCCCTTCTCGAGTGTCGACTACATAGTCCTCCCCCCTTTTCACTGATTCTCTCTGTCCCTTTCACTTCTCTAGAGAGAAAATCTATCTGATTTACGGTTTTTCGCTGATTCCCCACAAATCTGCTCGATCGAGGCTGCTAAGCCATCATTATACTCCGAAATTGGCCAATCTGAAGCTAGTTTCGCACCATGCAAAACCCTCAAACGACTCTTCCGATCTTCGCTTCGCAGTTATTGGGAGAAATCGTGAATAATCCACTCATCGAGATCAGTTCTTTCCTTTTACTCTCTTTCTCTGCTTCAAATCATTCTTTCTCCTATAAATTAATCACATCGATTGATTGCAGGGGTCACTGGAGTCTGGAAAGTTTCAGTGCTTCCATTCTTCTGCATTTTGCACAAAGCACAGTCAAGGTAAAAAACACTCAGAATTTCATTTTTACGAATAAATTAGCTTGATCAGTAGATCTTCATCAGTCTATGGAGTCTAATTAATACACATTTGTTTGGTTGTTTGTTGGAGATCATCATGTTCGCATCATCAAGCCTCGGTTTACCATATGCATTCTGGAATACAGAGCATCCTTCTCCAGTTCTCTAGATTAAAGGTTAGTGTAGCTAAACTCCACTGCATGTGTTAGGTCTTAGTGGTTAGGGTTTAATGTTTGTGAGTGTTCTCTGTCTGCCGTCTGCCTGTATCTGATTAGTGATTAATTAGTGTTATCTTCTTCATGTCAGATGCACAGCCCAAATGATGCTGTGAATCTGAATGCTTCTCCTGTGCCTGGTAATCAAAACAACCAACCTAAAAATTTTGGTTCTGATTGTAATGATAATGGTAATCTGGGTAATGGCAATGATGTCTTGGCTAATGGAAATGAAACTGGTGAAGTAATTCTTGAGCAAATTGACGTCTGATGTCTAATGAAGGTAAAAAATTGACGTATGATGTCTGACCTCATTTCATTAGAATTAAGTTGAATGGAGTTATTAAAACTAGGTGTAAGTATTGTCGAAAAGCACTAGGTGGCGATACTAGTAATGGAACCTCTCACCTAAGGAGCCATTACAAGACATTTACCCAAAGAAAGATACATGATGGTAGACAAAGAGTTCTTGGTCCTAATTACAAACCAACTAGAAAACTGTGAGAAACATAATTATCGGGGGTCTATTTGTTATTTGCGTATTATTCGGATATTGTGCTAGGGTGGGAATTATGAGGGTTTATTCGGTTAGGTTAATTATTCGGGTAGTAAACAGGAAATAGTCGGTTTATATATATATTATGAGCAAGAAGGGGATGCCCTCCAGTGGCGGGAATGGACTGAGCGGCGCATATGCGGCGGTAGGCGAAAGCATCTCTTGGGCTCGGTTCCAGGAGGAGCTCCGGTACCAGTTCGGTAGAGCAGAGGGATAGGCACCGGAGCAGTTGGCCAAACTAAAGCAGACAGGGTCAGTGGCGGAGTATAGGGCGGAGTTCTTGAAACTGGGGAATCAATGCAAGGAGATGACCGAGGAGACACTGGTAGGACTGTGCATGGCCGGACTGCGGCCAGAGCTGGCCACCGCAGTCAAGGTTTTTGAACCTGACTCTCTTCGTGTGGCTTTTAGACTTGCAGGACGGAAGGAGGAGGAGCTAGCCAGTTGGAGATCCTCCGTGGGCAGGATGCAGAAGGCCAGTGACGGAGCAGGTGGCGGCATAGGTATTGGGGCGGTGCCACCGGCGACAGCGTCAAGCCCACCCGCCACAGGAACCGCAGTGGGGGCCCGATTTCCGGCCAGGGCACCGCCGTGCGGGTTCGTAAGGCTGACTCAGGCATAGATGGATCAGAAGCGCCGGGGTGGGCGTTGCTTCAACTGTGATGAAAGATATACCGTGGGACATCAGTGCGCCAAGGGCCACTTAATGCTGCTGGTCGGAAATTGGGAAGATGAAGGCGAGGAGATGGAGCTCAGAGCGGAAGGAAGGGAAATGAAGGAGGACAACAAGCCAGATGGCCCACCTTGAGGGCAAGGTGGGTTTCAAGGGGGATGGATTGTGAGAAACATAATTATCGGGGGTCTATTTGTTATTTGCGTATTATTCGGATATTGTGCTAGGGTGGGAATTATGAGGGTTTATTTGGTTAGATTAATTATTCGGGTAGTAAACAGGAAATAGTCAGTTTATATATATATTATGTTATGTTAGGTCAAGGGTAAGCAATAATACAGGATTGTTCCCAACTCTCTCTCTCTCTCACCTCTCACCTTGGCCGAACCCCTTTCCCCTCTCCTCACCGTCGGCGACCTCCCATCCCGGGAACCCGACTCTGTCTTCTCTCTCATCCAATTCCCCAATTCTTTCTCACCTAAATTCCCAATCCCTAATTCGTTCAATCCCTAAATCGCATGCCTAGATCCGTGGTTCTCACAAAAACCCCTGCTATCTGCCACTCAGTTTAATTCTGATGTGTCTAGGAAGGAGTTGTGTTCTATGATTATTGTCTATGAGTATCCTCTCAACATGGTTGAACACTTGGGGTTCGTGCATTTTTGTTGTTCTTTGCAACCTCAGTTCACTGTGCCTTGTAGAAATACAATGAAGAAGGATATATTGGAACGATATGGGGCTGAAAGGGATAAATTTTAGAAGCTAATTAATGGTAATCTTGGTAGAATTGCAGGGGCCACTGATATGTGGACTGCACCAAACCAAAAGAGGGGTTATATGACAGTGACTGGTAGACAAAGAGTTCTTGGTCCTAATTACAAACCAACTGGAAAACCCCTGCTATCTGCCACTCAGTTTAATTCTGATGTGTCTAGGAAGGAGTTGTGTTCTATGATTATGGTCTATGAATATCCTCTCAACATGGTTGAACACTTGGGGTTCGTGCATTTTTGTTGTTCTTTGCAACCTCAGTTCATTGTGCCTTGTAGAAATACAATGAAGAAGGATATATTGGGACGGTATGGGGCTGAAAGGGATAAATTTCAGAAGCTAATTAATGGTAATCTTGGTAGGATTGCAGGGGCCACTGATATGTGGACTGCACCAAACCAAAAGAGGGGTTATATGACAGTGACTGGTCATTTTATTAATAATGGTTGGAAACTTAGAAGCATGATGTTGAGATTTTTGTATTTCCCTGCCCCTTATACAAGTAGGATGCTGGCAGATAGATTGTTCAAGTGTTTGCTTGATTGGAATGTTGATGGAAAGTTGTCCTCCATTACTTTGGATAACTGTACCACCAAAGATGCTATGATTTCAAATATGAAAGACCATCTTGTTATGAATGATTTGTTGTTGGATGGAAAACTGGTTCACATGAGATGTTCTGCTCATATACTTAATCTCATTATGAGGAATGGTTTGGATGTCATCAAGGATGACATTCACATGATTATAGAGAGTGCTGTGTATTGGAACTCTACACCTAAGAGGGTCCAGACCTTCTTTGAGACTTTAAAGCAGTTCAAAATGACTTGTGGAAAAAAACTTATGCTTGATTGTCCAACAAGGTGGAATTCCACTTATGAAATATTGTATGTTGCTATTATATACAGAGATTTGTTCTTTCGTTTGAGAATGAAAGATAGTCAATACACTACTGTCCCTACTAATGAACACCGGGATTTTACTGCCATTGTCATTGATAAACTGAAAATTTTCAGTGAGATCACAAAGCTCTTTTCTGGTACCAAGTATCCCACTGTTAATATGTTTTCCCCTAAGATTTGTGATCTGAGATTGAGTTTGCTTGATTGGTATGCTGATCCGTGTCCTATCATCTCTGCTATGGCTGGAAATATGTGGTTGAAGTTCACCAAGTATTGAAATGATATGCATTTGGTTTTGGCTATTTGTGTTGTTCTGGATCCTAGATACAAGCTTCAGATTATTGAGTACTATGCTGGCAAGTTTGGTAGCACCAATACTGATTTGGTGGCTGAGAATATAAATGGAATGATTTCTAGTTTGGTTCTGGATTACCACACCAAGGTTGAGAAGAATTCTAATTCTGATTCTTCTTCTTCGTCTTGTTATGGTAATGGTAGTAGTTCAGTTACTATCAATGATCTGGATTTTGATCTCTTTGTAAGTCAGAGGAAAAAAGAAAAACAACTATGATTACTACTGAGTTGAACCACTATCTTGTTCAAGAACTCATTCCTCATCGATCTGCTGATTTTGATATATTAATGTGGTGGAAACTCAATGGTCTTAAGTACCCCACTTTGCAAGCAATTGCAAGGGATTTCTTGGCCATACCAGTTACATCAGTGGCCTCTGAGTATGCTTTTAGCTCTGGTGGGAGGTTATTAGACCCTCACAGGAGCATGCTACACTATAGTACAATGGAGGCAATGGTGTGTACCCGCAGCTGGATCATGGAAGATATGCAAAGAGGTAATATGCAATTACTCTATTCTTGCTCTATGTTTGATCTTAAAGTTTACTTTCTAATCCTTTGGCTTTGTTTTCATGTTCTACAGACTCAGAAGCTGATATTGAGGCGATGGCAGGAGTATTTACAGCTCTGTCGATTGAAAACTCAACTGCTGAAGATCAAGAGAATGTGGGTAAATTACTAAGCATGATTGGTTCTTTTAGATTCAATGCTCTATATTTATGCGACATGAACTATCCACTAACAATTTTTTATGTTTGTTGCAGCTGAAGAGGACCTTGTGATGATCAAAAAACCAATCTACCTAGATAATTGACAGTGAAAGGAAGAACCAGTGGAAAGGTATAAAGCATCACTTGGTCCTTACTTCCTTTCATTACAATCGACTGAATACTGATTTCCATTCTTCCATTCTTGCAGTTGCAGAACATGACTGATTTAGGACTGTTGCTAAATGTTTTTGCTCACTGGGATGCTTTTGGAGGACTGTTGCTTTTAGACTTATAGTTTGATTTAGAACGATGGTATTTTGAGGCTGATTGCCTATGCTTCTTTGAGTGTTTCCTTTTATTTTTTGGATGAACTTCAGAACATGATTACATCAGATGACATATGGGTTTTTGGATGGTGGGATATTGGTTGTATCAGCTTGTTTGCTTGCTGCAGCCTGTTAGTAATTTTCATGTAATGAAGATCTGAGTGCTGGGTGGTGGGAGGGTTACAGCCCCAGAGTCTTCCATTTCAGTTTTGAACATCATGTTATTCAGCTCAAATGAAGTGAGGTATTTTCAGTAACGATTTGCGTTTGTTTGTTTTGAACGGGGATCCTTGGGTTACCCAATCCGCCGGGTGGCGGTGATGCTATGCATTTTTTACCCGATTAGGTCACTAGGACAGGGAAACCTGACAAGGATAACAGACAGTGAACGTGGGTTATGTACCCGTCCCCGATTCGCCCCGTTGCCAACCCTACATACTAATATCATATCACTATCATATTAACATCATATCAACATTATATCACTACAAAAAACAAGATCATGTTGCAATAAGTGGTAATATCGTGATATGATGACTTGGAAATTTTTTTCCCAAAAAAATATCAAAATGAGTATCTTCTTGTAGAGCACAAAAAATTAGATTTTCCTATGATTTTTTTTTGTAAAATCCGATTTAAAACTAAAAACTTAAGGTCCATTGAATTTTCGTAGAAGATTTGAAAAATGCCTCAACAACCGCCTCAGAATCTACGTCCGCCCCTCAAAACCCAGTCGACACTCTCCCCTATTTACAACTTTCCTTTCTTACCCCATACGAAGATGGCCACTGGATCTCTTTTCTCTCAATCTCAACCATCCATAAAGGTTTTGTAGGATACAAAAATAATCGATTTCGAATCCTAACCCAAATCATTTTCTACATACGTATAGGAAAGAAAACAATTTCATGGCGCAAATACATATCATATTATTGCTAGCATGAACAATTTGCGATTAATACAAATACATGAAAACAAATACACCATATATGTTTGACCTAATGTAAATCGAAGCAAAAGGTTTACTATAACCTATACGACTGAAAGGCCAAATCTGCAGGTATGAGTTACATACCTTTCGCCTCCCTTTTAGGCTTTGAGCAAATCATCAATAAAGCAAGTTGCCTATTTAGCCTTGTCAAAACTTCACTGCTATTTAGTCTCTCTTGCGGGGAGTCGAAAGAGCAAGCAACACCAATTTCTAAAATGGAAATTAGAGCTTTCTCGGGGATTCGACCATATAGTATTTCATTGAGTAGAATTGGATCCACAACTTTTGGGATTGTCGATCCTTGTCCTAATAAAGCAGTGTTCACAAAATTCTGAAGGTTCACGCCATCACTAAAAGATTCATCGATTGGCCTCCTTCCAGTGAACATCTCAAGTAGGAGGATCCCGAAACTGTACATATCACCTTCAATCGAAATTTCATTTCCCATACCATATTCTACAATAGAGATCCAGGAAAAGATTAGTAACGAAAAGTGTATAATATATAACCTTATTGAATCGTTCTGACAAATAAGATAATGTATTTTAGCATGATATCATATTAATTTTTTTTTTAACAAAATGAGAACGTGTAATATATCATTCTAATAGCAACAACGAGTGAATACCTGGAGGAGCATAGCCCACAGTTCCTTTTATGCCAATGGAGCTGGTTGTCTCGCCATTCAAAGAGAGATTGGCAGCTGGTGATTCAAGAAATCTAGCTAATCCAAAATCACCAACATGAGCTACCATATCCTCATCGAGGAGAACATTATCGGGTTTAAGATCACAATGAACAATAGGCGTTTCACAAAGGTTATGAATATAATCTAGTGCAGATGCTATATTAATGGCAACATTTAGACGTTGATGAAATTTCAGACGCCTTGGAGGGTCATCAACACTTTCCACAGGATGCAACCAATTTTCCAAACTTCCATTAACCACAAACTCATAGACTAGAGCCTTGAAATCATTCCCTTGATAGTCAACACCCGAACATACCGTCAAAATCCTCACAAGATTTCTGTGTCTGATATTCTTTAATACTTCACATTCTGTCATAAAACTCTTGGAAGCTCCACGATGCTGAAGATTGAATACCTTGACAGCTATTGTGATCTCTTCTACATTAATGTTAACAACTCCCTTGTACACGGAACCAAAGCTGCCTACACCAATAAGATTTGTTGTGGAGAAACCGTTTGTAGCTTTATGGAGACTTTGGTAAGATACTCGAGTGTGGAAATCATCGCCACTCGAAACTATATGTTGTTTACCTTTACTTTTCATCCAAAAGACCAGCAAGGAAGAAGCAATGAAGATCAACAATATCATACTAGAGACTGTTGATATACAGACCTTCAACTTATAGCTCAATCTCTTCTTAGGTCGTCTTAAGTTACAAGGTGGAAGGTTAAGTTCAGGCAAACCTCCACAAAGATTGACATTTCCAATGACTAAAATGATTATACTATTATTCAAAACTCCCTCCGTTGGCACTTCACCCTCAAACTTATTGTGAGACAGATTCAATAGTTGTAGAGAATGCATCTGCTCAAAGAATTTTGGAATTTGACCAGATAAGTTATTGTTTGAAAGATCAAATAGTCGAATACCTCTTAACGAATCCAATGACAAAGGAATCATTCCTCGGAGGAGGTTGGCTTGCAATTGCACGGACTCTAGGCTGACACATTTGCCAAGGCTTCTAGGAATGCTGTCTGATAACATGTTATGGGATAGATCCAAGGAGCCCAAGTTCTTCAGATTTTCCACTTCGATGGGGATGCTGCCAGTGAAATGATTGTAGGACAAGTTCAACCCAATGGACAAAGAAGTAAGACCCATGAGTTGTGTGGGAATGACGCCACTAAGATTGTTGTTTGATAAGTCCAAAAATATCAAACTTTTGCAGTTTTGAATAGCGGTAGGAATTTCTCCGTCTATATGGTTATTAGCCAAGCGCAATACAAGCAATCTATTCAAGTTTCCAATAGACAAAGGAACATATCCGACAATGTCGTTGTTGTCCAAACGCAACTGCACTAAGCTCTGCATGTTTCCAATAATGGATAGTGATTTCGCACCTGAGAGTTTGTTCCCATTCGCCAAAAGAACCTCCAAGTTGACAAGGTTTTGTAAGCCCTCTGGGATGCTTCCTGATATCTGGTTGTTATCCAACACGAGTATCTCAATGCTCGATGACAAGTTGCCAATTTGCTCCGGTAAGCTGCCTCCAAAATTATTGATGCTGATGACTAGGGCTTGCAATTTTCTTGCATTTGTCAAGGTAGAAAGGAAACCCAAATCATCACCGTTAACCTTGCCACTTCCAAGAAAGTTTTCGGCAATGTTTAAACGCAGAAGGTTGTGAGAGCTAGCCATACTAGGCACGCTCCCTGTAAAATTGTTGACCTGCAGTTGAAGTTGGACCATATTCGAGGCATTTGACAAAGAAGGTGGAAGTCTACCAGTGAGTTGGTTAAAAGGCACGTAAAAATTCTCAAGATTCGGAAGTAATGTTCCCATATTCCACGGAAGGTTTCCGCGGAGTCGATTCTCTCCAAGGGAGAGAAGTGTAAGGAGAGTAAGATTGAAAATGGAAGAAGGGATTTCACCATCTAAGTAATTACGATGCAGCAGCAGTTCCTCAAGGCTCTTCTTCAGTTTTCCTAGAGCCTCAGGAACTCTTCCACTCAATTGGTTATCGCCTAATGCTAGGATCCTGATAGATGTCAAGTTGCCGAAAGAAGGAAGGATGCTCCCTGTTAGACGGTTTCCTCCCGCGTGAAAGAATTGAAGCCCGTACAAGAAGCCGAGCTGCCGAGGTAGGCTTCCCACCAATTTGTTATTTCTGACATGGACCTCGGCCAGAGCAGAGCATCCCGAGATGTTGGACGGAATCTCGCCGCCCAATGAGTTGTTGTATAGAAACAGAGTCCGCAATCTGCGTAGCCGGCCAATTTCTGGCGGGATTGCGCCGTGGAATGTGTTGTTGTTGAGGTCGAGCTTCTTCAGGAAGGTGAGGTTGCCGATGTGTGGAGAAATGGAGCCAGAGAGCCTACTGGAATGCAGGTCTAGGACCGTGACTCGGACGTGTCGTCTGGAACAGGACACGCCGCCCCAAAAGCAAAATTGACGGGAATCATTCCACGAGCTTAGAACTCCCAAAGGGTCACCGGAAATCTTGGACTTGAACTCGAGCAACGCCAGTCGATCCGTCTCGTTGCTCAAGTGCGTAGCATCGGCAAGGTGCAGGAAGCAGAGCTGAAGAACCCAGCATGTTAAGACCCAGCGGGTCATGGATTTCTTATTCTTGGTCGAGCTGGTAGATATTGGAGCCAACTTTCTTGCCATGGATCTTTGCGGTTGTAAGTGGAATTTCTGATGGGTATATTCTTTTTTGTTGTATCTGTTTTCGGCGAAGGGGAACATAGATGTATAGCACAGCATCCAAATTAAAGAAAGATGTGGGTCTCTGTCTCTTGACGTGATACTGCTGGGAAGAACAACGGGACCGCAACTGAAGTCAAAATTGGAGAGTGGACTTTTATCTCGCTGTAGTTGACAAGTTGTCCAATCGGGAGAATGGCTTCGCGAGTCTGCTCAAGGTAGGAAAGCATGTACCGCCATTTGTGCGCTTCACTGCCTTTCGACTTTCAGGCTTCTCTCAAACGAATGAATCAATAAGTTTCATCAAGAACTCAATTACTGCAACAAACCAGTTGACCAAGAAAGGAACAACACTTCCTACCCAGAAAAAAAAAAAAAGGAAGAGGAACAACACTGACAGGACAGCTACCTTAACAATTCAAAAAATATAAGTTCCATGACAAAAAATAATAATTTTTGGCTGAAACTGGGGGGGAAATCGTACAAATAACTTTTGATTGATATGGTGATTAGCAAACTTTACCGAACCACATAACTGTTAATGGTTGTTACCAATACCATAATGATAGGTGTAATGTAAAAGAATGGTGATGGGGAGGTTTGTGTAAAGTCTAAATCATTTCAATTTCCGCTTTCAAATATTCAAATCCATACCCGCTTCATACCCATGCGGGGTAAGGTTTTGCAAATCCATCCTCATTACCGTGGATTTCGAGTATCAATGGGTAATATCCACCCCGTACATTCAACATTGCAATACCTAAAAAAATTTAATGTAAATTTTTAATTATAACAATTAAACGCACCTACTATATCATGAAGGCGACAAAGTGACAATCATTCTTAATATGGTTCAAAACAACTTATCCTAAAACATCCGTTAATCCATAAGATAGAGTAAAAGGTAACCCAAATCATTATTCCCTGACTCTAATACATCTACTAAGCAATGCTAACTTACATAATCTTGCTAACACGAGGGAAAAGTGAAAGAGTGAAGAGAGAGTTGAGGAAAAGGAATTAAAAGTTTTTATTTGGGTGGCCACTCAATTGCATTTCTACTAATTATTTTGTTGACCTACCCTCACTATCATTGATAGATTACTATTTGATCCATGTATTTTATGTGAACAAATATTCTTGGCGGGGCGGGTATGGGTGTGGGTATGACGCGGGGGAGGCTAAAACCATATTCGTCCAATACTCATCAAACGTTTTGCAAGTTTTACCCATACCCTCCCCATACCCAATCAAAGCGAGAATTCCCGGTGTCGACTGGGTCGGGGACGATCGGGTACCCGCGGGGCCGCGGTCATGAGTTTGATTGTCATCCCTACTAATGTAAGCAATTGTCACTTAAGCAATGAGTTAATGAAGCATGTAATTTAAGATTTAGTAGATAGATTGATTTTCAGCAAAAGATGACAATGGATAGACCCATTAGGTAATTTGACCCAATTGTCAGGACCCATATGAGTATTAAATCGGACCCAAATGGATTTATATATGTATTTTAATGGTGTTGAGTTTTTTTTTACAGAAACCTGCATTCACTTTATTAATTAGAGTTTGCTGCTACATCATCCAATTTAATCCGATCAACTAAATATATTGGTGGCCGATCAAGCCATACCACCTGCTTATCCCATCTTGTGCGTGCATGTGCCATGATATGAGCAGCTTCATTTGCCTCCCTGTACACATGGAAGAAACTCCCTTGTCACTCTTCAACCATTCTCCTTATTTTTCTGCAGACCACCCCTATCTCTGATATGAAAGAAGCTTGCTCTGTCAACAGTTGCACCAGTTTCAAACAATCCATCACCTTTATTGGTTTTTGGACGTAAAATTGTTGCGCCAGCTGATCTCCCATCTCCCAAGCCATTGCTTCTGCCATGTTCGGCGTGTATTGACCAATTGAAATGAGCTATGTGCTTAATGCCCTAGATATGATAGCCTAGATCGAGGTGACTGACATGAGATTAGGGAAGGCGTACTCGGAGGTGTGTGGATAACCATGAAAGCCCATGGAAAAGAGCTCACTCACCATATTCCCTTAACCCTACATGACAACCATAACTAAGAGGATTCGACCCTAGGCAACCGTCTCATCTCTTGAGACCTCCCAAGTCCCAACCACTTGGTTGGTTGTTTATTTTGCCTTTAGGAGTAGATTAGATTAGTTTAACAACCTTTTGATTCGATTAGATAGTAGTTTGGAGCGAAGTAATAGTAAGCGTAGGGTTCCCTTGGAATACGATCGAGCCACTATACTACAACCCTTTCTAGGTTATACTTAGCTTAGTTAGGATTGAATAGAGAGTGTGCATCGACTTATAAATTTAAAGTTCGATCACGCAAGCGATTAGGCATCGCAAAAAGGGTACTTATCGCTCCATTTTTCACTGCCACGACTTTTTTTGCGGATCGGGAAATAAGAGGATTCGACAATGCAAGAAACGAAAGTGCACACACACACGACACATTATTTACGTGGTTCACTAACACAATGTGTGTTAGCTAGTCCACGGGCAGGAGAGAGCCAGTATACAAATTACAGAGGAGTATGAGAAGTATTTATAGTACTCTCCTAGGTCTAACACTAATCCAAACTGGTAAAGGAAAAGCGGTTACAACCAGGCCCAGAACCCGAGCACAAATAACATTGAGCCCATACAACATGGACCGGGGGCGTTACACCCGTACCCCGGTGACTTCCAGTCGTAGCGGCTGATAGTTCGATTCAAGTCACATCAATAGTCACTCTTCTCGCTTACTCTATATCCCCTGTGGGCAGAATGTCTTTGGTGAACTTCCACATAAAATAGGACTTGATGTTTGGATTGGTCTGAATTGGGTCTCATTTGGATAAATTCATTTGGATTAGACACAAATGAGACTTGATGATTGTATACAAAAAAAAAATAATGTCGATTATTTCATTAACCACTTTCAACCAAATTATATACCTTTAATGTAGGTTTTTTCACTATTATATTTTTCCATAACAAAATTGGTTAATATTTTCATAAGGGCCGAACTTTATCCTAATTTAATATCCTAGTTAATCTGTCAAAAAAAAAAAAAATTATATCCTAGCCTTAACTATCACCGAAAATACCTGATTTGGTCTAACTCGAGTGTTGACTGTTATATTGGATGGCCAACACCGTTGACTAATGGTCAATGATCCTCAGCATCACTAAAAATTCTGAATTCCAAATATTTTGCTAATCTAGAATTTCTACAATTTATACATGAAAAAAGTTCAATAAAAAAAACAATTCGAACCCTCCAGAGGCATCGAAGCTGAGGTACTCAGTGCAACACTCTACACGGTTGCTCCTCTATCTCCATCTCGGGAGCGGATATGGTGACAACACCATATTTGTTGTTATTGTAACAACACTAGTCTTCAACCAATAGGAAGCTAGGGTTGTGATAACTTTTTATTAGCTTAGTTGACCTAGTGTAAAATAAAAACAGGGGTATAATTGTCATTATGAAAAAAATTGTTTAAATAATAAATAAATAAAAAAAAATATTTTTTATTTTCTACCCAAAATTTTGGTCGCCGGAATTATGTCACCGGTCGCCGGAAAATGGTCACCGATCACCGGAATATGCTTTTCGTCGCCGGAATATGCCAGTTTCTCATCGGAATATGTCACTGTCGCCGGAATATGCTTACCGGCGTCGGAATATGCTTACCGGGGTCGGAATCTAGTCATCGGGGCCGGAATATGCCTATCGGCGTCGGAATCTGCTCACTGACGGTCATTGGAGTTCGGTCAATGAACTTTGTTGACCGGTCAACGACCACCGGATGTTATGGTCTTCATTGTGAGATTTATGGTTTGGTTTCTCACATTTTTTTATGCCTTTTGTGAGTTGCTTTATCGCGTTTGTGGTTTGCATTGAAAAGTTTCTGGTTTGCTTTATCGTGTTTGTGGTTTGAATTGAGAAGTTTCTGGTTTGTTTTCAAAAACTTTGTGGTTTGCATTGTGAGGTTTTTGGTTTGTTTTAATATATTTGTGGTTTGCATTAGGACGTTTATGGTTTGCTTTTTTGTGGTTTGATTTACTGTGTTTGTGGTTTGCATAGGAGGTTTCTGGTATGCTTTCGCAAATGTTGTGGTTTGCTTTGTGGGGTTTGTTTTAGAGGATTTGTGGTCTCCATTAAGAGATTTCTGGTTTGCATTAAGAAGTTTCTGGTGTGCTTTCGAAACTTTTGTGGTTTGCATTGCGAGGTTTCTGGTTTGTTTTAATATATTTGTGGTCTGCATTAGGACATTTTTGGTTTGCTTTACCGTGTTTGTGGTTTGCATTAGGGGGTTTCTGGTGTGCTTGCAAAGCAACAACAATATAATATATTTGTTACTGGAACATATACAAAGATTTGTACGTAACAAAGTCATATTCCTAATCCGAGTAGAAAGTGGAATGTGTTTGGAAAGGTGCCAACATTTCTATCAGGGCTACATCATGCATCAAATCATGAGGAGAAGAAAGTGGGGAAAGAGGGAAAACGCTTTACTGAAGCAAGTTTACGATGAGTCACCGAAGATGATCACATTGGAGGCAGCTGAGAAGCTTGGTCGACCGCCGGAGGAATTACCCGGTGGCACAACAAAATTCTGCGGAGATTTTATTAATTGGAAGCAAAATTACATTGTTCGTTAACTGGACGGCGGCGACGGTTGAGCGCCCAATAATTCCACTACCCAAACCCTCCAGCATCCGGGCAAATTGCAAGAGCAGCTTTGTTGGTGGCGGCGGCGACGGCGACGGAAGGGGACCCTTTGGTGGGTCCGACTCGGACAGTGAGAAGTGAGCGCCTGAACTGGTGGGCATTCCTCAAATGACTCATCAATAGCGGATTGCGTCCAATCAGCTACTGTTGGAAGATGA